GTCAGTATTGGTCTCATCTGTTTCCCATTATGTAATTATGTCTTTCCTATTTAACCCTCTGGCTCACACTGTGTGTTGTGCGTGTTTGTTCATGTTTTGGTTGTCGTATGTGAGCGGGTTTGTTCCTCACTGCGTGGAGGTATGTTCATTAAGTTACCTACGAGTAAAGTACGTTTTTTGATTAGCTCTGTGTCCTGCGCCAGACTTCGTCCTACCGCATTACACTGACGCCTTGACACAGTTGAAGTCGGAAGTTTACATACACCTTAGCCAAATACATTTAAACTCAGTTTTTCACAATTCCTGACATTTAATCCTAGTAAAAATTCCCTGTCTTAGATCAGTTAGGATCACCACTTTATTTTAAGAATGTGAAATGTCAGAATAATAGTAGAGAGAATTATTTATTTCATCACGTTCCCAGTAGGTCAGAAGTTTACATACACTCAATTAGTATTTGGTAGCATTGCCTTTAAATTGTTTAACTTGGGTCAAACGTTTCGGGTAGCCTTCCACAAGCTTCCCACAATAACCTGGGTGTATTTTGGCCCATTCCTCCTGACAGAGCTGGTGTAACTGAATCAGGTTTGTAGGCCTCCTTGCTCGCACACGCTTTTTCAGTTCTGCCCACAAATGTTCTATAGGGTTGAGGTCAGGGCTTTGTGATGGCCACTCCAATACCTTGACTCTGTTGTCCTTAAGCCATTTTGCCACAACTTTGGAAGTATGCTTGGGGTCATTGTCCATTTTGAAGACCCATTTGCGACCAAGCTTTAACTTCCTTACTGATGTCTTGAGATGTTGCTTCAATATATCCACATCCTCATGATGCCATCTATTTTGTGAAGTGCACCTGTCCCTCTTGTAGCAAAGCACCCCCACAGCATGATGCTGCCATCCCCGTGCTTCACGGTTGGGATGGTGTTCTTCGGCTTGCAAGTCTTCCCCTTTTTCCTCCAAACATAACGATGGTCATTTTGGCCAAACAGTTATATTTTTGTTTCATCAGACCAGAGGACATTTCTCCAAAAAGTACAATCTTTGTCCCCATGTGCAGTTGCAAACCGTAGTCTGGCTTTTTTATGGCGGTTTTGGAGCAGTGGCTTCTTCCTTGTTGAGCGGCCTTTCAGGTTATGTCGATATAGGACTCGTTTTACTGTGAATATAGATACTTTTGTACCTGTTTCCTCCAGCATCTTCACAAGGTCCATTGCTGTTGTTCTGGGATTGGTTTGCACTTTTCGCATCAAAGTACGTTCATCTCTAGGAGACAGAACGCGTCTCCTTCCTGAGCGGTATGACGGCTGCGTGGTCCCATGGTGTTTATACTGCATACTATTGTTTGTACAGATGAATCTGGTACCTTCAGGTGTTTGGAAATTGCTCCCAAGGATGAACCAGACTTGTGGAGGTCTACAAATTTTTTTCTGATGTCTTGGCTGATTTCTTTTCCCATGATGTCAAGCAAAGAGGCACTGAGTTTGAAGGTAGGCCTTGAAATACACCCACAGGTACACCTCCAATTGACTCAAATGATGTCAATTAGCCTATCAGAAGCTTCTAAAGCCATGACATAATTTTCTGGAATTTTCCAAGCTGTTTAAAGGCACAGTCAACTTAGTGTATGTAAACTTCTGACCCACTGGAATTGTGATACAGTTAATTATAAGTGAAATAATCTGTCTGTAAACAATTGTTGGAAAAATTACTTGTGTCATGCACAAAGTAGATGTCCTAACCGACTTGCAAAAAACAATAGTTTGTTAAAAAGAAATTTGTGGAGTGGTTGAAAAACAAGTTTTAATGACTCCAACCTAAGTGTATGTAAACTTCCGACTTTAACTGTAGATGCATGGAAGGGATAATTTGGCCGAGAACAGTGTGAACCTCAAAACCCTCTCTGACCGGCTGAAGAAGAAAATGGCGTTCAGTATGGTGGTGCACCACTTCCAGCAACCTGTGCACAGCATCCAATCGAAGCTATCAGCTGCTTTTTCTCTCATGCATTTTCTCTCAGGAGTGCGACAGGAGTCCACGTGGAGTGAGCATGGAGAGAGATCTGTTCCAAACTTCTCCCATGTTGCTGGTATACTGGTTGGCAAATGGACAATACATAATAGGCATGTGGTGGGGCTCAGATGAGACATTAGTCTGTCTGGGAAAATCAGACATTAAAATTGGGACATTATCATGGGCCTTCCACTCTGAAGAAGACAATGAAGAGACGCCAGAAGAATGAGTGCCTGAAGGGGGGGGTTGGTCAACTGTGCCCATAATTGATTTAGGCTTGTCTAAAAAAAATATTTTGGGGTATCAGGTTGATTGTGGAGGTCTATACACTGCTAAATGTATAATAATGTAGATTAAGAATGCATTAAGATACTGATCTGTAATTATAATCCTGTTGAGAAAGTTAATACTAAAATTATAAAATGAATTATACTGTATGTTAATATGAATGTACATTCTGCCAGTGTCGATGTGTGCTAAATTTAGGGTTTTAACTTTGAGTGATAGGACTAATGTGAATCACTGAAGTATTGTCATTCTAAATTTGGGTTGGATAACTGAATGATTTTGAAAACTGACTAGTTGATTTGAGTAAGTGTATAGTATGTTAATAAATATATGAGTGAAGCAATTTATGGATTAGGGATTATTGTTTTGGTTGTTGTTATGCTAATTGTGACATGGGTAAAGAAGTTGTGTACTAAAGTTATTGACACTATTCTCAGCATGCCCTGGTGAATGGAGAGGGTAAACTCTGATCCTGAGAGTGAAACTTATCCTAATCTATTTGACCTATATCCATAACCAAATTACATTTTTGATGGTAATGATAATACTCAGGAACTATGCTAATGGAACATAGAATCCATAGGTGTTGCCTTATAAATAATGGGATCATGATGTTTGTCCTGGGTCATTGTTCATTAGGCACTAAACTTTAATAAATGTTACTTAAACCGGGAGTCACTACCTGGATTTGTCCAACAATATATGCTAATTTTAGTTTCTACAGATGGTGTTATGAGGATGGAAATAGTTAACTCCACCATGCTGACCAATTGGCGTATGCTCAGTATCAACATGATGACTTTGTTTCGTACTTAAACTATATTTGAATGGTTAAATCATTCCCAATGAAAGATAATTTATGTTAAGGTTAAAAGTTCAATGAACCAACGGAGGGAGGTTACATGGAAATAAGGTACTCGACATTGAAGGGTTTTGATTCTCTGTTTTTCTTATTTTTAATAATTCATATATTCTGCAACAAATGTTAGTAAGATTTGCCATGTTTCTGTTTTTCCTGGAAGGAACAAAGTCCCTTGAGAGGGGAATGTGAGAGAAAAATTAACATGAAACATGTTTGCCTGCTTTGTTTAACAAATAGTAAGAAATGTCTGTCCTACTAATGCTGTGTTTTGTAAAGGGATGGTTTCTACTAAAGCTCCCTGCAGCTAGTCTAGGCGTGTGGTCAAGGACATGGGTTTACTCAAGATAGGGGTATCTGGAGCTGGCAATTGATTTATGAATGGCTAGGTGATAAAACCAACAGCCACATTTCATTTCAGGATTAATGGTGTGTGAGAGGGCGATGTCTCTGGTCTGACTGAGCATACATTTTCATAGACTGAATTGTGTCTGTAACCCAGCTAACAAGGAACGTAACTGAGACATTTGTAACATTCCCCCTAAGTCTTCCAGAGGTACTGAATGTCATAGCCCGTTTGAGACATTATAGGCACATTCATAACGTTTCTAATAAGTATTATAGAGGTTATAAATATCTGGTCGCTATACAGACATCATGGGAACATTAAAAACGTTCCTTGGTAGTCCATGAAAGGTTCTGAATATCATGTTATTTTGGAGATATCCTAGGAATATTTCATAACGTTACATTTAGAGCTATGGTTTGTCTTCATATAACGTTACAATCGGAATGATAGAAATACATTTTGGAACGTCGTCTGTAAGACAAGTGGTGTTACACTTGTAACATTGTCTTTCTAAGTGTGTAGGAACATTTGTTACGTTCTAAATAAGTACTTTAGATCCCAAGATATTGGGGCCAGCATACTTGTGCTTGGAGTAAAGGAAGTGGATCCAGCTCTTCCCCTATGCAATTTATTTGTCCATAATTCTACTGATTTAATAAATGTATGGAAATTCATAATGTAATTTTGACCTTAGTATAGGCCTATGGAAGAGGGAACAATACCTAAAAATAATATTTTTGTATTATATTAATTTATGAATGTAGCCTATAACAATAATACTAATTTTTTAAAATCATTATAAAGCAGCCAGCAGTAGTGGTGGCCTGATGACGGTTCATCCTGAATATTCCTTTTGACTCCATTATCCGTCATTGCAAATATAAAAGTGGATGTGGCAACTAACAATACTAATTGGTAAAAGTGAAACAACACAGCTGAACAGCGAAGACGCCATCGACTCCGACTGACCGAACACAGTTCACTTCTTGGAAGTTTTTACGAAAGGTAAGTTATCCAGCGTGTACTATATAAACCAAGTAAGTTAGTGTACTCCCAGCTCCCCAGATAAATACATTTTGATGTCAGGCTATCTAACTAGCGAGGAAGCTTGCCAGTTAGCTAATTAGCCAGTTGGCTAAAAGATAGTTTAGCCTAGCTACATTATTTGGATAGTGCCGCGTATAACCACAGCCTGTGTTACAGGGTTCAGTAATCATGTTCGTAGGTCCTGATGAAGAACAACATTGACCTCTGCGGGGTGTTTCAGCATCTTGTGACTCAAGACTGTATTGGACTTTACACACCACCACAAGGAGCACACAAATGCATCTCATTGCAAAGAGTAGTCTTGTTAAGCAGGCCATGGCACTCGTGTTGTGCTTACCATCTTGCACAGCCTGTAGCAAGCCCCATTTAGCTAGTTTTGCAAATTATCTTGGCTGGTAAATCAAGAGTCTGAACAGTGTGGAATTGGTGTTTTGTTTTTCTGCTCAGGGCACACAGCGTTATTATGTTGTACATTTTGTAAAAGAGAACACTGTTGAAGTTGTACCAGAGCAGTGGGTGGAGAAGAGAGATGGGGTGAGTTAATCAGTTAAATGGTTTACTCTTTTCAGGCAAAGAGATAGATAAATAGTTAACCTTAAACAGAGTCTCATATCTTGTTGCTACTGGCCAAGAAATGCCAGCGCAACAATGATTAAGAGAGGAGACCGGCCTGACAAAATATTATGGGAGAAGTACAGAATTTCCATCTTTTCATCCACTGGTAAAATAATATTTGACTGTATCCATCCACTCCCGTTTATATTGCAATGCATGCTTGGTTGTGTGGCTCTGGAGCAGGTTGCATCAGTTGAACATACTCCTATACGTAAGGCTAGTTCCAACGTAGAACATGTTCTAAGCCAGGCCTAAACCTGTGTCAACACCTGGTTGTAAGTAATAGCTTTTGCTACGGCAGGGTGTAAAAACGAAGTGTAATGTGGGGTAGACGTATAGTATAAATCTATAACTAGTTTCCAAGGTAAGTGTTTCATGACTAGTCATGTCACATCTTGTTCAATTTTCTAAATCATTATGTCGGGCGTAGGTAGGCCCAATTTATCTCTACCTTATTAGCGTCTAACTGGTGCAACACACTCCTGGTCAGTAGAGTCAGTAACTTCCCCCTCTTAAGTACTATATGTATTTGCTGAAAGTATTACTATGTGAATTACAAATCCTCATTACCCTGTTTTGCCAGTGTTTATAGGAAAGTATTTATGACTAAGTTTATTGCACGTACAGACAATTACTCTGTGGCAGAGCAACGAGCCAAACGGGGGTTAACACCTCCAATGTTGAATCTGACGAGGAACCAGCGAAGAGGGCAGTGACTAAACCAATCAGATTCCGTGTAGAGCCACCTGGTGAGGATTTCTTAACTGCTCTTATTCCATTGTGTGTAGTACATGCATCAGGAAGTAGATGAAATAAATTACAATTTTTTTGTATTGTGCTTCGTAAGATGATGATGGAAGTGAAGCACTCCAGAAAAAGACAAATGAACCCAGACAAGCCCAGCTTACAGTGCCCCATCTTCCACCAGCCCCTAGTGGTAAGATCCTGCATTAGGCTACTAGGTCATTAAATGTATAATCAGCAAGTTGATGGTAAGTTTGACACACATTCAAGTATGTGGGTGAAGAAAAGCTTACAGTTAATGCAAGTACTAGTCTTAAATTGAGACGGCATGAAATCATAACCTAATGACATTTGATATGACAAGAAATTACCACACCCATCTGATCTTGACATACTTGATTATTAGTCACATTACCAAAGTGTAACAGTTCTTTATTTTATTTTATTAGCAACTTCAAGAGCCAGTGTCTTTGAAAAGACCCTACAAGGTACATAATGTTTCAAGTCTGATAAACAAGCCTCCTTTCTCAAAGTTCTGTTCCCACCAACTGTATGGGATGAACAGGAAAATCTGTGTGTACTATAAATGTGGTAATCTGTGATATTCTCTGAAGTTACAGATGAAGAGGACTTGAGGCCATGTGCCACCTCAAGCCAGAGCAACAGTAAGTGTCTGGTTGTAGTTTGTTATGGTAAACAATTGAATTGTATGAAGTATTATAGCTTTACAAACCTTTAAAAGCAACTCAATAGAATACAATTACCATCACATTTTTGCATATTAGGTTATTTAAAGTCTTATTACTACTTTGTGCATAATATTTGGACTTTCCAAATACTTGTGGTGCTGTGTATGGGTGAAACTTGTATTTAAAACAGTAGTGAAATCACCATATTCTTCTGGGGTAAAACAGAAGTGTGATGCCATGTTTGTAAATATCTGTATGTATTTTCCATCAAACTAAAAGCATTATTTAAAACAAAAAATGATGCTTAGCATTTATTTTTGTTGGGATTCATTAACCTTCCGACTGAGCTCCTGACTGACATCCCTTCACTTTTGATTCTGTGCCAGTTTCAAAAGCATGCAAAGTATGTCTTAATGTTTTCCCTTCTGTTTTCTCAGTTAGTCCAAGTGGCAGCCAGGAAGAAGCTGGCCAAGACAGAGCATCAGAATCAGGTTTCTTTAGCCATCAAGATATTGATCTCGAAATCGTAAATGTAGAAAGTTTAAATAACAGCATGATTTTTTACTTATATTTTAGACCAAGAGCTGCCATCCCTGCTTGATGAGCCTGTGGCTTCTGAGATGCCCGCTGGATACATTAAATATATTATGTTAGCCTATATGTTACAAAATGTTGCTTCTCTTGTATTATCAACATCAATTCCAAATTGTATGGCTGTCAGCAGCTATATGGTTATCAATACTACTAATATATAATGAAGGGTGGATATTTTGATTGAGGTATTTCACATGGCCTTGATACATGTCCTGCCTGGTACTCATGGCTTGTATCGTCACGCTGCTTGCAGCTAAACTGTTGATTCTTTATTATTTTGCAGATCTTCAAGCAGTGGAGATGAGGATAATGGTGGAACTGGAGATGATCCGTACAGAGTTCAGGACTGCTCTGAACCAAGTTATGGAGGCCATAGAGGCCCGGCAGCCAAAGGAGTCGGAATCCTTGGGGCAACTTGAAATGCTGCAAAACCCTGCAGAAACAAATGAGGAACTGAAGGATATCTGTGATATCTGTGAAACACCATTTAAAATGTATCTGTTTGTAAAAGATGGGAAATCTACATCAAGTATTTTAACAGCAATTTACAAAAATTTACAAAAATAAGTTAGCCCCTTGAATGCGTCCAGATTTGAGAGAAGATTGCAACCTGCAATATTATCGAATCCAAACATCTTAATGTCAATGAAATGCAGTTGTCATATATGCTATATGCCTATTTAGTGTTTGGATTGATTTTCCAATGAACACTTAACTTATCTTAAGAAGAAACGATCAGCCCTCTGCCTGTTTACACAAGTTTTAGCCCATGATTACATGATACACTACAAATATGATTTCTCATTACTATCAAACAGAACTGTATGGCCAGCTGTTTTAGCTTAGGAACACACAAATTAGTGGGATTTTTAAAATATTTTTTTAATTTTTTTATCAGATCCGATACCTGACCCTCTGCTGTTGCCTGGACCTAGGCTCAGGAATCAGACAAATGATGAGAAAAATTGGAACAGAGGAGCTGTGGACAGGCTACTCCTTGAAGGGCAGGAAGGGGAAGAGGGCCTTTAATGAGCTATCAATCTGTGATGCTGTCACAAGTAAGTAAATGCACAAGTTTAGATCGTTATTTATTATTATTTAGTAGATAGTATAATTGGTCAAGTGATGGTAAGTCAAATGTGTATTTATTAACATTTCAAATGACTTAAATCAGTAACAAGGCAGTTACAAACTAAATGTGAAATCCTACCAACTGTTAAGATCGGAGAGAGAGGACAAAGGAAAGGTGAAGGAGAGAGGTCTCATGGCCAAAACTGCCTATGAGGGACGAGAGGGACAATACACAATCTCTGCCTCAGCCAGCATAGGTGGAAAAGTAATGATATGACATATAATGTACCATTTCAATTCTTTTTCACAACATAGGAGTGTCCCTGAAAGCACACCCCAAGGCTACCTACCAAGATGTAGATGACAAAATAGCAGATGCTCTCTAACATGCACCAGCTCGGCTCAAGAGTAAGAGAAAGGTATGATTAAAAATAACATTATTTTTTTTTTTACTTCACTTTAATCCAGTCGGTCAGTGTAGGTAAATGATTGTGCTACTACAAAAGGAATGTATTAGAGTGTCGACGTTAAACCATTTTGATCTTTTGTTTACGGAAAATAATGACCAATTTGTGTTATTGTGACTTCCAGGAGCGGGTCGAGGAAGCGACAGTGGATGAGGATGGAACAGCAGCACCTGAATAAACATAACATAGTTATTCACTTTTAGCTTTAAGCAGTTTTACAGTTCTTGATTGGAGTGCAGTGTTCATGTTTTTACTGACTTGTTATTTTGTGAGCTTATTGCTGTGATTTTGTTTACGAATCTATTGTGATACAGTTTAAGTTAAAAAAAGAAAATATAGAAAAAATACCTTCTTATTTTCTGGAATTTTGCATATTTTGTCAGTGGACACCTACCGACAGGATACTGTGTATATGTTCAGGGTAGATTAAATGACGTGTCTTAAGGGGCCTCCCGAGTGGCGCAGTGGTCTAAGACACTGCATCGCAGAGCAAGCTGCGTTGCTACAGATGCTGGTTCGATACCTGTCTGTGTCGCAGCCAACCGCGACCGAGAGACCCATGAGGTGATGCACAATTGGCCCAGCGTCGTCCGGGTTAGGGGAGGGTTTGGCCGGCCGGGATGTCCTTGTCCCATCACACTGTTATGTACCTTATTGGTACTGTAGGTACCCACTGACGAAAGTTACGATCCCATTGGTTACCAGAAACTGCATTTTATGCAGCTCTCAACGTACTTTCTGACGTTTAGCAACGTTATGAGGTTGACCTAAAAATACACATATTTAACTGTTTAACATCCCCCACATTTCTACGTCCTAAAAAGACTTGGGACGTACGTTTTGTCAGCGGACACCACAGCTACGTAGAAGGCACGTTTCACAATAACTTTATCATGACTTATGTAGGGACTAAAATAACTTTGTGGTCACGTCCTGGAACGTAATTTTGTAGCGACTCCTGTGGCAGGCCGGGCGCATGCACGCCATAACGTTGCTAAACGTCAAAGTACATTGAGAGCCCTACAAAATGCGGTTTCTGGTAACCACTGGGAAGGTAACTTTTGTCAGTGGGTACCTATAGTACCAATAAGGCACGTAACACTGTGCACGTTCAGGGAAGATTCAAGATTAATCTCTTATAACGTTATTGAATAACGTTATTTAACTGTTTAAAAAAAAGTTTTGTCAGCGGACACCACAGCTACTGTACATAGAAGGAACATTTCACAATAACGTTATCATTACTTATGTAGGGACTAAAATAACTTTGTGGTCACGTCCTGGAACGTAATGTTGTTAGCTGGGAAGGTACCAGGGATGAGATCTGTTATGAATAGTTGATAAGAACCTTGTCTTGGGGGCCAAACCCTGGTTTCCATACAATGAGAACAGTCTTCATAGCAGATACTGTCTGCTGTGAATTATTCATTTCTTTCATAGAAATCCTAACCTTTTTATTCATTCCACACATCTGCTGTTTGTCATGTATCTTTGCTATAAAATATCTTTGTATTGTCTGTATTTCAGAGCTCTCCGCCCAACACCCAAGAGTGTTGGGTCGACCAGCCTCACTTACTACCTTATTAATACGTTTTGAATAAAGTAATATCCTGATTGGTGATTGACCTTGTCTCTCCTCATTATTGATTAGAATTTCCACAACACTGGTCAAATTAGCTTTTGAATTCCCTGTCTTTTTCAGCTTCAGACAAAAGCTAATATTTCACTTAAAACAGTTTTTTGTATTGATTTGTAAATAGAAGTGGGATAGTAGCCTTTAGTGGGATAGTAACAGTAGAAGTGACTGCAGTAGTGGTGTAAATAGTTACTGAATCCCAGTAGTAGTAGTAGTAGTAGGATTGACTGTGGTAAAAGCAGTGTTGGGGGATAACGTAGTATTGTAACGCATTACTTAAAAAAATGGGGTAATATTATTACAGTTTTTTTCAGCTTGTTTATATATATTGTCTCTACCAAGTTCATGCTGTAACTCGTTTCCTGTTATAAATTGATTGCTCAAAGTAGCCTTACTGAAAAGATGGGCCTTATGTTCTGAAACTATGTTGTCACAGTAAGTAAATTCATGATGGTTATGCCAGCCTTCTAATGTTATTTATTTTACAGTTTACCATACAACTTCAATTAAACGGTGAGTCTCAAAGAGCCGCCTGTCCCTTTTAGTAGCCGGGAAATGGTACATTTCAGCAAATAAACGCCTGTTTGAAATAAACGGCAGGTCTAAATGAATTGTTACCATGAATTACCATGAATTGTTTACGAGGTTTAATGTTTGATTTGTTACATTAAATAATTGAGTAATGACTCGAAGGAAATTATGGCAATCATCAATTTTTATCGACAGTAACAAACTGCTAGCAATTGGCTGCTAACAGCTGAGAACTGCTAGCTATGTCACACCCTGATCTGTTTCACCTGTCTTGTGATTGTCTCCAACCCCCACCAGGTGTCTCCCATTACCTCATGTGTATTTATACCTGCGTTATCTATTTGTCTGTTGCCAGTTCATCTTGTCCCGTCAAGTCCTACCAGCGTGTTCCGTGTTTCCAGTGCTCTAGTTTTTGCTTTTTCTAGTCTTCCCAGTTCTGACCTTTCTGCCTGTCCTGACCCTGATCCTGCCTGCCGTCCTGTACCTGTCTCCCAAGGAGCCACCATTGGAAGACACGAGGGGTTACTACAAAGCCTTATGGAGGGACTCCATACCCTGGCAGAACACCATGACCATGCGTTCAATACATTGCTGGAAATATTCAGCGGATTCCCAACTAGGCAGCAAGCCACAACAGTAACCCCCCCCATACTCTCAGCAACCCCGCCACCAGCGGCGCTTCTTCCCAGCCTACCCCATTGTCCCGAGAACCTCGCTTACCTCCTCCGGAGCGCTATGCTGGAGATTCTGGAAAATGCCGGGCATTTCTCTCCCAGTGCTCCCTCATCTTCGAGCCGCTCTGACCGCTCGAAGATGGCGTACTTGATAATGCTGATGTCCGGGAGGGCCCTCGCCTGAGCTACGGCGGTGTGGGAGCAACAGTCTACCTTTTGCCTCAGTCTGGAGGAGTTCGTGGCGGAGGTACGAAAAGTGTTTGATTCTCCATTGTCTGGGAGAGAGGCTGCTCGTAAGCTGCTCAACAATTAACTATGCAAATTAGCAAAAGCTGTGTGGATTAAGGAAATTGATGCCTGGCTCAAATAGAAGCCTGTCTCTAATAAGCGTCCGTGGTGTTCAGTGATTTAAGCAAAAAAAAAGGCCCAGGCTATTAATTGAAGTTTACGGTATTTCATTTAGAGGCTGCAAGTAAACCTAGATTGTAGCCTATAGTCCAGGCTATTTCAGAAAGGTTCGAAAACAGTTTTCTTCAGTGATGGACATTTCATTTATTATCACTGCTATGATGAGACCAATCAACATTTCACAAGTGTTGGTGTTTTATTATGCTACAAGCTATTGTCACAATGAGACCTAATCGCACTATTTTAATTCTGCTTGGAATGATTCAATAATAATCTCCAAATGCGTTACTTTGATTGAAATCCCAACACTGGGTAGAAGTAGGCATAATAGTAGTAGATAATAGTAGCAGTACACTGCAGTACACTGCAGTAGTAATATTGCAGTGTACTGTGGCGGACTTACCATTAGGCAGAAGAGGCAATTGCCCCTTAGGCCTCACATCATCAAGGGGCCTTGTGAGCTGGGCAAAATAAAATAAAATAAATACTAATAATGAATGATTTACCTGCTGATGCCCCTCCTCCCCCCCATGCTCCGCTCGAGGCAATATTAATATCGTTTTCTCATAATAGTAGAAACAAGTGTCATTAAACAGCCACGGACTGGTTCATAATAATGGAGTATTCCACACTGACAGAGTTCCCGTGCATTGTTTCACGCAATATGATTGCAAACGTGACTTTCATGAAAATGAAGCTGCAGTAATGAGGTGCTTTCAGAGCAGGGCAAAGAAAATACAAATAAATCAAGATTTAACATAAAAATGGCATTTCATACTCTTTTTGGACAGACAGCATCAGATACAAGGGCTACATACAGGGCTCTATTTTAACAAACCTAACACAATGGTAAATCTAAGCGCATGCGGTAGCACTATAGCTTCAGGGGTGTGTCAGAAATATACAGCGGGAAAAAAAAGTATTTAGTCAGCCACCAATTGTGCAAGTTCTCCCACTTAAAAGATGAGAGAGACCTGTAATTTTCATCATAGGTACATGTCAACTATTACAGACAAAATGAGAAAAAAAAATCCAGAAAATCACATTGTAGGATTTTTTATGAATTTACTTGCAAATGATGGTGGAAAATAAGTATTTGGTCAATAACAAAAGTTTCTCAATACTTTGTTAAATACCCTTTGTTGGCAATGACACAGGTCAAACGTTTTCTGTAAGTCTTCACAAGGTTTTC